AAATTTAACACTTTAAAAACAAACATCACGAAAAAGTTCCGGAAATTAATGGTGATAATGACAGTGTAAACGTACTTAATGCCAATAAACTGTACATCAAATAATTGTTAAATTAGTAAACTTTATGTGTATTTTACAATAAAAAATGAAAATAAAAACAAGGTCAATAAATAAACTTAAGACCACTGCTCTTGCCCATGTGCTCTGACATAAGACTCAGGTTAGAAATACTAACTTCTAAACTAGGTATCTTCCCACAATGATGAAATATCTCATCTTTGTTGAATGCAGCCACAAAGGTTCTAAGAGACAAGGATGCCCTAAAGCACCTTTATGTCTCCATTACCAATAAATGCTTGACTGTTCCTCCTGACTCTTATATTTAGGGGTTTAATTTTGCTTTCAAAGCTAATTTATCTTTTGAGCTCTAATTCCATAAAATAACAAGTCTCTGTCATACAAAAAGAAAATACAATTACATTTGAATTTGAAAAGCTCTACTGATTAAATGCAACTATTTCCTACTGACTCTACCTCAAATAAGCGTCTCACTTTTCAGTTCCACTGTAAAGTCTGATTCACATCACCTAGACCAGCCCTTTCTAACAGAAACATGATGCAAGCACTTAGGCAATTTCACAATTCCTGTTGTCAGATTAAAAAAAAAGAGAGAGACAAGTAAAATTAAAATATTGATAACATTATTTTATTTAACCCAGTATATCCAAAATTATTGCCTTCCCAACATAAAATCAACATTTTAAAATGAGATATTTTGCTTTCTATTCATACTAAGTCTCTGAAATTCAGTATGTATTTTATATTTATGGCATACCTCAATTCAGACTACCCACACTGGACAGTACAGACCCTAGACCAGAAGGGGTTCTCAATCATGTCTGCGTATCGAACCACTTTCCATTAATTCAGTAAGTGAACTTACTGCTTCCAGGTCCTGGAGGTAAACTAGTGAGAAGACAGATCTCAGCATGTAAGTCTCTTTTCTCTATTGCTAAACTGAGTTTGGCACACAAGACCTCTGATAATCTGGTCCTAATCTACTTCAGCCTTCATCTCACATCTACATGTTATCATTTTTATAACCTAGGCACACAGTTTCACAAGTTTCTCAAACACACTAGTCCTTTAAAACTCCTTGTTGTTGTGTTGGTTTTCTCTTCTTCCGTCCCCTCTGACAACCCAACTCTTTCAACACCCACTCCCAAGTGTCATTTTCCCTGAAGCGTTCCCTGGTTCTCCAGGTAATTACTTAGTCTCTCCATTGTGTATTTTCCTCATATCTTTCCGACATACTATCGCATGCTATAGAATTAGAAATTATCCATTTATGAATTTGTCTCACCACAAGATCAGGGGTTATCAACCTCATAATTCAGACATATTGGAGTTGACATCAGTGACAGAGAAGAGGAATTACTACTAATTTGATGAAAATTATACCCATTCTATCTTAACTATGCCTACGTAATCTATGCTATAGCTGCCCTAACCTAAGCCTGATCTTACTATAGAAATTCATTATGTGTAGATCAACAGTCACACGTGTTGTAGCAGGAATGCACCATAACAATGATCAGTATCTGTTACCTGTCATACATAACACTAAAAATAATTAATACCGGCCAGTTGTGGTGGCTCATCCCTGTAATTCCAGCACTTTCGGAGGCTGAGGAAGGTGAATCACGAGGTTGGGAGTTTGAGACCAGCCTGGCCAACATGGTGAAACCCTGTCTCTACTAAAGATACAACAAATTCATTGGGCGTGGTGGTGCGTGCCTGTAGTCCCAGCTACTCCAAAGCCTCAGGCAGGAGAATCGCTTGAACCCAGGAGGTAGAAGTTGCACTGAGCCAAGATCGTGCCATGCACTCCAGCCTGGGCAACAGGTTAAGACTCTGTCTCAAAAAATAATAATAATAATGATAATTAATACCCTGGTGTCCTAGCTTATTAACAGCTCTGTTTAAGTTTAGCTAGTGTATTACCTAAAACCTGATCGCTATTGAACCCTGTAATTCTAGCCCTTAGTTATAAATGATGCTTAGTGACTTTGAGGACTTTCTCATCTAAGGAAAGCAAGAATTGGGCTTTAAATTTCTTAACAAAATGCCAACTTTGTTGTCCTAACTTTATTTAATGAACATAAACATCTTTATGATAAACAACACACTTACATTTAAGTATCTGTCAACAACCTAAATCTCCAAGGCTGATGTTCACTTTCTATAAGAGCCTAAAGACAATTTCTATTAGTGAGAAAAAGCTAAGCACCATTTCAATACCAGTATATACCATTTATTATGCAGTTATCATGGAATAGTAAATCACGTTATGTTTTTCACAAGTATTTTCTTCACAGCAACACTGACAGCCAGCATTTCCATTTTACAGATAAGAAGACAAGCAGAGTTTAACAATTCCTAAAGTAATATGCTCTGAATATGGATTCCAGATGTTTGCTCCTTACACTAATAACAATTCATCTAGTAGTATGCCAGAGTTTGCCTGTACTGACTTATAAAAACTGATTTAAATTTTTAGAAATTCTGGAAGCCACTGTTAAACACAGCCATGATTAAGCAAATAAACTATTAAAAACAAAGGTAATAATTACTCAGAACTCATAGTACATTTTATTCCTGAGGTTATTTACATTTTGTGTGTGTGTTTATAATATACATAATGGGATCACTGTATATAATGTCACTTAGCATCTCTTCCCAACTATGCATCTGTCAGTGATGTAAAAGCTTGAAATTGATCACGGTGGGAGTATTTACATCAAAGAATTGGCAAATCCTACAAAGTATGGCTTTCTTTTTCAGAGTAGTTGTACATTTACCAGAAAGCCACTGAGGTTATCTTATTTTGAATCAATAGGTTATTTCAAAATGTAATATACATGCTTAGCCCCAACCCAGAAATTCTGATTCAGTAGATGAGGGGTGGAATATTGGCATGTGTATTTTGAAAAAGATCTTCCCTCAAAAGGAATTTTAATAAAAACCTCCAGCTGAGAACTATTTGAGATTTTTAAGACTGTATTACTACATCACATTAGACATTAGAAAACTACACACTTAAAACTATATTACAAGAAATAAGTTTAAAAATTATAATACTGTCAGGGCTTTTTTATCATGGGTCAAAAACAGCCATAGAAAGCTTCTACATACCTTAAAGGATCAAAGAAATTGTTGCTTATATAATTCGGTAACTTTCATAAAAAGACTATATTATAGGACAACTGGATATCCACATGCAAAATAAGGCTGAACCTTTACCACATCATAAATAAAAATTAGCTCAAAATGTATCAAAGACTTAAATATAAGAGCTAAAACTATAAAACTCTTCAAAGAAAACATAGACGTAATCTTTGTGACCCTGGATTAAATAATAGTTTCTTAGATGACACCAAAAGCACAAACAAGCAACAATAACGACAAAAACAGATAAATTGGATTTCATCAAATTAAAAATGTGCATGCTTTAAAGGACACCATCAAGAATGTGATGACAACATACAGAATGGGAGAAAATATCTGCTAGTTATATATGTATAAATAAGGGACTTGTATCCAAAATAAAGAGAACACTTATAACTCAATAATAAAAAGATAACTCAATTTTTTAAATGGGCAAAGGATTTCCAAAGAAAATATACAAACAGCCAACAAGTACACAAAAAGATGCTCAACATCATTAGAATCCAAAATGCAAATCAAAACTGCAATTACATTATCATTACACAACCACCAGGATGGCTATATTCAAAAAGTCAGATAAACAAAAGTGTTGGCGATGATGTGCAGAAACTGGAGCTTTCAGATACTGTCAAAAATATAAAATAATACAGCCATTTAATGAAAGTCTAGCAGTTCCTCAAAAGGTTAAACATACAGTTACTGTAGAAATTGGCAATTCCACCCCTCAGTATAAACCCAATAGAAATAAAAACATCCATACAAAAACTTGTATATAAATGTTAATAGCAGCATTGTACACAAGAGTCAAAAAGCAGAAAAAGCCCAAATATCCATCACCAAAGAGTAGATAAACAAAATGTTGATATTACCAATCCAATGTAATATTATCTGACAAAAATAAGGAATAAAATACTGATGCATCCTATACTCTTTTATGAACCATTAAAAACTACACTAAATGAAAGAAGCTAGTCACAGAAGATCACTTATTTTATTATTCCATTTATATGATATACACAGGCAAATCTATAGAGAGAGAAAGAGAATTTACTGGTTGCCTAGGGCTGGTGGCTAGAAGGGTGACTGCTGAAAAGTTTGGGGTTTCCTTATGGAACAATGAAAATATTCTAAAATTGACCAAGGTAATGGTTTCACAACTCGAATAATATACTAAAAACCACTTTCAATGAGTGAATTGTATGGTATGTGAAATATGGTATGAATTTCTAGAAAAAAATTAGCTCTGGGAAAGATTTCCATTTCTGACAAACACATGTTTTCTTTTATTCAATGAACTACATTATAAATTTTATTTCTCTTGACTTCGCTGCCAACAAACTCACAGCTAAAATCTGTGGTCATATGTGCTTTCTTTTACCTCAACTTTTTAGTTCAGTTTGTTAACCCCATGTGTTTTTCTTTCATTGTTTTAATTTGTAAATATTCTACTGCAAGCCGCTTCAATCTTTCTTGGAAGCAGATGTGATAGCCGGTTGAATTCTGAAAACTAAAAGATACTCATGATCCCCAACAAGGTACAAAATCCCTACTAAGTTCAGTTTGAGTTCTACCAAGCAATCCCTTTCATCTTAACTACCATAAAGAACTGAATCAGTTTTCCCTTCAATTACATTAAATTTTCCTCTAAATTATATTATCATAGAGAACATCACATTTACCATACATTTAGCACACAAATAATATTTAAAATGAAACTTAAATGAACAAATCACTATTAAAGTTTAACTTTGTTCTGGGAAATTCAATCCTACCCTAACAGGCGAGGATGACTCCTCTGTATTTCGTTTCTGGGACTCAGTGTCCACGTCTTGGCGCTTGTTCTTCATTCTTTCTCGAAGATCCCCTGTAGGTCTTTCTGGTGACCTTTGAACCAAAACAACAACAACAACAACAACAAAATGAAACAAAACAACAAAAATCTATGTTTATATATTAATAACATTTTCTATAGATGTATTTACAGAAATAACCTCACAAATCTCAATATACTTTTTCTGGCCCTGACTCCTAAATTTCTGAAAAATCATTTCACCTGAAATATGATATGCAAAACATAAGCAACACTTACAGTTTTTCTCCCACTAACAATAAAAATGTATGTTAAAATTCCGCGAAGTGGCAGGTACTGGTGACAGGAACAAGGAATTACATGTGAACTGAGAAAAAAGGAATTAATAACTTGACTTGTTTTCCTATTAATTATATAAATATATTAGTTACATGTGGAAGTCAAACATAATACTAACACAAAGTTTTAAACTATAAAGTTGCAAAATTAATCTAGAGGTAGCAGCATTATCAAATACACATGCAAGATATATGAAGATATCACAAGAAATAAGTTTCTTCTATATACATACATGTGGTTGTATGCAACGTCAACAACTGAGAAAATACTTTATATAACTTCAGAATCAAAGCAAATATAGGAGCTTTATGATTTTTCTTAAATTTTAATTTATTTCAGAATAAAGACAAAATGAGTCAAAGCAAAATTTTACAACAGTGATTTTCAAATTCTGTTGCAAATTTTAATTGAAAGAAAAACATATTTATACTCAGCAGTGGTAAGGCTTTATTATTTATGCTAGGAATTTGACAGCATATGGCTATGCAATTATTTTCACTATCAGTTGGAAAAAATAAAGGAGACACAGAAAACAACTTGCCTTTAAAGACTATTTCTAAAACACCTTTAAAAGAAGGCAAAAGAAGTTAAAAAATGCTCTGTTCCTCTTTGACTACAAAAAAAGTAGTCTATAAAAAAGATATTAACAAATTACATAAATATTCACATCTATTTCAAGCAGCCACTGATCAATCAAATCAATTCCTTGATTTTATGAATATAAACCATAAGGTTAGTGAAGAAATTATTTGAGTTAATTCACTTTAAAGGATCTCATTAATGTTTACATGCACATTTAATAGATGTATATTAAATGTTTTAACAGTTAAAGCTAAACTTGAAACTGGAACCTTTTTAAGAACCAGTACTTAAGTGCTTTAAATTATGATTATGATGTACATGTAAATCCTGTGTGTCCTGGTTTCTTTTATATTATGTAATAAAACAGTTTATTATGAACTTGTTTCTATCCTAAACAGCACCCAACAGAGTGAATGTTCTACACACAGCAAATTCTCAACAAATTACTTAAGTCTTGTATATAAGCATATAAGTGAGCATCTTGTAAAATACATTGCTTTTCTTCTCATCTTTAACTCACATTATGAAATATATTTTTCCTCCCTACAAAAAAAAATGCACAAATACAAAAGAAGTTATCAGATAGAAAAACACACACAAAATAGCAAAATTATAATAAATATCCTTTATTCTAAGTCTAGTAATGATATTTTTTCCTATTATAGACAAATTTCTCTGACCATTTTTCTCAAAATTATTTCTTAAATAAAAATTGAGTCAGCTAATAAATTTCAAAGATGAATTTAAAAAATATTAAAAGTGTAGTATTAATGTAGGCAAAACATTAAAATTATGGAAACAGTTTCACCATGTAAGTATCCACATGTATATATACATATCAATAACACTAATTTTCTCACATTAACAGAAGTAACAAATGACAATGTAAATACAAATAAAACAGTATGCAGAATCACAAATAAACTAAAATATACAATGGTTATGTGAAAAGGAAGTTGGCTAATGTTGAGGGTTTGAATTTTAAATTCTACTAAATAAAATCTACCCATACACTGCCCCCCAAAAAAATCACCCCAACTAATAAAAAGAAAAAAAAAATCTCCAGTTGCTAATGTTCAGTTTTTAGTGTTTCTATGCTATAGCCAAAACAATCAGCATAACCAATTTTGGAACTATGTAAATTATTTGTTTACCAATCAAGTTAAAACTGTTTTTGTGACAAATTTTATATATATTACATCTTTAAACACCATAAAAGAATCATCATGAGGGACAAAAAGAAAAATAAAAGGTCTTTATTAAGCAAGTTTAATCTAGCCAAGGCTACAGGCAAAATGATGTTTGAAAGATGGAGTACATTTATCCACATATAAATATGTATTTTCATTAACATTAATACTCTGTGACAAGGGATTTAGTAAATGCATTTTAACCTACAGAATTTGTACAAAGTTCAAATTCAGAACATCTAAAATAACTAAAATCATACCAAATTTTAATTTTACTATTTTAAGAGTTAAAAATAGTCTAGCCTCACTAAAAAGAAATTCAGACACCATGAAATTCTGCTGCCTTAAGCATCAATTTAATACATAATTTGGGGAAAAAAAGTAATACACATATTACAAAAAGATCTATTATCATAACAAGTAAATACTGAATAAGTTAATTTTAAAGCAGACAATTTATTAATCTTGAAAATAAAAACAAAAAGATCCTGTCAATATTTGATTACTGGTAAGACTACCACCAATACAGAAAATCTGACCAAATGTATGGTTGTATTTCAGATTTTTATACTCGATAAATTACAATAGCCATCTTCTAATAGTACATAAACAATTCAAATTTCTCAGTTTACCTTCTATAATTGCTGCTATAACCTTTACCACGAGGTGAAGGGCCATGTACGAATCTACACGTGTTTCCATAGAGGCAGTTGCCAGTCTTCAGCCAGTTACGGCACTGTGTCTAAGAGACAGATATTACTATATAAATTTCACATTGAGTTCTGGAAAAAAAATGCTAGTGGGACAAAATTAAAACAAATGCTATCAAAATTCCAGTTAACCTGTGAGCTATTACTCCCCAAATAATAAAAACTTCAGGAAAAAAATATGAAAAGCCCATAAACCTTACCTTTGAAAAAATTACTGAACCAACATTCCTACAATAAAACGACCTGTTCACCTCTATGATACAAATGAGCATTTCAATAATAGAATTCTAAGAGAACCCCTGTGACTATACTAGTGACAACTCACCTCTGGTGTACTGCCAGTGCTGGGTCCAAGCCTCTCAAATACACTGGGTCTTCGGGATGTGCTATCAGATATGGTCTTGGTATTTTCCACTGTAACCTTCCTTCTAATTTTTGACATTTTGTACTACTTTAACCAAAAAAGAAAGAGGCAAAACTGTAAAATTCTTCAGTTTTAAATAACTGAGCCCACAACTTACAAGTAGATAAAACTATAGGTAACAGTGTAAAATTACAGGGCATTTTCCTTGGGAGATAAAAAACGCATAGGAGAGGTCACAGGTAAACACAGATAAGGTATCTTCTAACGCATGTCTCACTGGTGAATTGATAACAGCTGTGAAATCTGTTGGCTAGAATTGTACCTCTTCTGCAGAGTGAACAAATATGATCCTACTCACACAGTGAAGTTTTCACAGCACATTCAACCTCAGAAGACATAGTACAAAATCTTTACAAGTTACTTACAAAAATTGCTTCAAAATTTAGTAACTCTAACCTCTAATAAAAAGTTGTTAACCATCAACTGGTTAAATGAAGAAGAGTTATGCTACAGAAAATTGGAAAACAAAACTGGGTGAAAATTTTGATACCAGAAATTATATTTCATAAGTTTAAGTGACAATAGTAGTTATGTTTCAAAAATCAGGTTGGAGAAAAATGAATGATATTTTAATATTTTCTCTGCCTTAAAGAGATCAAAGCAATTTGATCAAGCTTATTTATTTTCCAGTAACACAAAAACAAAACCCAATGTCGCTAAAGACAACTTTCAAAACAGGGCAGATTGTAGAACTAGAAAAAGTCAAGGTGTTTCTATAATCTATACTACACTGACATAAAATTCAAAGGTGTTAAAAGTAATTAACAGACTATTTTACCATTATTAGTAATAAGAAAAAAGACAAATTATAAAAATATTTTAATTTTATTTTACCTTTAAGCTCTGTTGGATTTAATGTAAACATAAAAATATTTTTTTAAAAATATAACATTCAAAAACTGAAACCATAATAAAAATCTAATCCAGTGACATAACTGGGTAACTGAACTAGAGATGCAAGTATCAGATAATGATGCTATAATATACATTATAAAATAATTTTGAATTCTAGACGAAGATACAACCCAGAGCATACTCTCCTATGGGAAGAGGGTAGAAACTGCCTCATAAGGGAAAGGAAAAAAAGAGCACCATTCTATATCTTGCTTTATACAAACTAAATATTACTTGAAATCTTATCAATCATCAAAAGTTACTAGAATGAATGATAGCAGCTAAAAGTTTCATTTGGTCTCTATAAAGATCATAAACATTCTTTACTGTGGTTTCAAAGTAAAAACATGTCACTTTAAAGAAAATTAAATCATGGTAGTACCTAACTGAAATTACCTAATACAGCAACAAAAAAGTATAAACAATGTTTGGTTCTACGAGTTACTTCAGGTCACATTTTTAAAAGAATCCAAAGAATAAGAACAACAGTAGATAAATAAAAGATGGTGCATCAAGGAAGGAAAATATGAAATAATATATGGTGGCTTGCCAGGTGCGGTGGCGCACACCTGTAATCCCAGCACTTTGGGAGGCCGAGGTGGGAGGATCACAGGGTCAAGAGATCAAGACCATTCTGGCCAACACGGTGAAACCCAGTCTCTACTAAAAATACAAAAAAAAAAATTAGCTGGGCATGGTGGCGCACGCCTGTAGTCCCAGCTACTGGGGAGGCTGAGGCAGGAGAATTGCTTGAATCCAGAAGGCGGAGGTTGCAGTGAGCCGAGGTCGTGCCACTGCACTCCAGCTTGGTGCCTGGTGATGGAGTGAGACTCTGCCTCAAAAAAAAAAAAAAATTAGCTGGACATGGTGGCACAAGCCTGTAGTCCCAAGCTACTAGGGAGGCTGAGGCAGGAGAATCACTTGAACCCAGGAGGTGGAGGTTGCACTAAGCTGAGATTGCACCACTGCACTCTAGCCTGGTGACAAAGCAAGATGGAAGGAAGGAAAGAAGGGAGGGAGGGAGGAAGGTTGGTTGGTTTTAAATTGGAAAATCTGTATTCTTATTCATTAATATGAAATGTAATAATTCTTTTTATACAATTGCAATTAATTTTTAGTGATTTTAAGAAGTTAGAGAATCACTTTACAGTAATTATAAATTTAAGAATCAGTGGAGAGCATCACATAAACAATAATTTGCTGCAACACAAAGTCACTTACATAACAATTGTTCTCCAGGTAAGGAACTACACACCAATTCTACATACTGTGTTAGCATTATAACATAATCTCTGATTTAATTTTTTTAGACTCATTCTCAGTCAAAATGTGAACATATGGAGGAAAAGCTGCTAAAATTTCCTATGTCCATGTGATTTACTGAGCATAAAAAACTGAAAGCTAAGAGAAGTGGAGCTAGGAAAGATCTAGAATATGTGGAGCTTTAACTGAGAAAAACACTTTTTTTACAATATACATGCAAGCATGATTCAATAAGAAGTAAATGCATCATATAATATATAAGAAAAGTTTGAGAAAAACAAAGTTTCATTATATATTGCTATAAATATTAATATATAATATACAGTATAATCCTTAACCATAATTTTTTAAAAAAAAACATTTCTTAATACACAAAATTGAATAGGCTCCAAAATTTCCTTATTTGCTAGTTATGTATAACTTAGAAAACAGGCATACCATCCTACCACACTGCCTCAAGTGGACTAACACTAATTTTTTTTACTTTTCCCTCCACTGTCATTGGGAATGAGTTAGTTCTGTCCCCAACATCTCCACTACCCCCAACAAGCCTCCACTCCCAGCACGGCCTCCTTCAAAAATTTCGATGGTAATGGTTTCCAGTTAGGACAACAAGCTACTTATTATCATACTTATTATACTTAAAACATTGGTCATCTACCATCTCCTTTCTTGTTTTTCCGAGGTCTCCAGGTATTAACTCTATAGTTTCTTTTCCTGCTCTGTCCTCTGTTGCTTAATTCAGCACTACTCTCCTCCCCTGACCTATTGCTTTGCTGGTCTGAGAGCTCCTCTCCAATCCTAGACCCCTAATACAAACTTTGAAGATTTCAAGGGTTTTGATTTCTTTGAAAGACAATCAAGTGAAGACTAATGATCCACTTCCTCACCTCCCTCACCCCACCCCCATATTCTTTCCACAGAGACAAAATTGCTTTTACAGGTGACATCAAGAACTATTCAAGATTCACCTACATAGTAATTATCCCAGGAATTTCACTTCTAACTACTACTGTACTGAGTCTTCCAATTTAGGGAAGAAATGAAATTAAGTAAAGATGTATTCTCATTTTTCTCAGAGTCCTAGAGTATTAGCCTTCGCCCTAAAGTAGCACTGCAACTGAGTACAAGGTCTGGGTTACAGCAAGGTCCTGGACAGAAAATTTAAAACAATAATATTAACAATAACAATAGGCCGGGCGCGGTGGCTCAAGCCTGTAATCCCAGCACTTTGGGAGGCCGAGGCGGGTGGATCACGAGGTCAAGAGATCGAGACCATCCTGGTCAACATGATGAAACCCTGTCTCTACTAAAAATACAAAAAATTAGCTGAGCATGGTGGCACGTGCCTGTAATCCCAGCTACTCAGCAGGCTGAGGCAGGAGAATTGCCTGAACCCAGGAGGCGGAGGTTGCGGTGAGCCGAGAT